GCATAGAATAAGTCTTAATTCCAGTAACTTAGTCTAGTCCGAGTTGCTCCCCACATAAAACCCTACCTTCTAATTCTTAATTTGTGGTGAATGTGTTCAAAGCACGCAGGAAGTAGGATGGAGAAGGTGCCGCTACTGCGAAGCCCGGGTGTCGTCCATCAGAAGGGGTGGCCGAGGCCTTTGGGGAGACCTGCCCAGGAGTAAGGTGCTAGCGAGGAGGGGGAAACGTCAGAAATCTCATGGAGGTGGCGTGGCAGGGCTGGTGAGATCCCTGTGAAGATGCAGGTTGGGTGGTGTCCACCCCTGTTCTTTAAAATCTTTGTCATGGAGAGGCTGAGGGCCAAGCAGCATTCACATCTTGGAAGAGGCCTCCCATGCCCAGCTCAGCACATGAGAGCAGGCTTCCGGCTGTGGCTCGTCCAGCCCCTGGCGAGGTGCTTGGAGAAACCTCAGCCTTGCACTGTCACTCCAAGCCCTAGAGGAGACGAAGGACCATGGAGCACGTGGCACCTGTGGGTTGAGAGGGAACCTGCAGACGTGAGAAGTGAAGATGAGCTTGGCAACTGGGGCTCTCGGGTGCTGGCTCCCAGGCGGGGAGTAGAGGATGGGTTGTGGACCCCACAGTGGGCCCAGTTTTGAATATGTTGTGCTCATTTATTTGTTATTTTGTCTGAGAGGCAAAGATCTCTCATTTGCTAGTTCAATCTCTGAATGCCCACCTCAGCTAACAGATAAGGTGGGAGCCAGGAGCCAAGAACTCTGTCAGGGTCTCCCATGTGGGTGGCAAGGGTGCAGGTACTTGAGCCATCACCTGCTGCCTCCCAGTGTCTGCATTAGCAGGAAGCTGGAGTCAGGAGCAGAGCTGGGACTTGAACCCAGGCACTGGGATGTGGGATGCAGGGGCCCCTGCCTGGAGACATGTTACATTTAACACAAATATTATGCACATTTTACTTCAGAAGCACATGTGTGTGGACAGGTAACTGAAACATAAATCAACATGCAATGATCATTTTGAAGTCTCTTGTTAAAATTACCATCTTCGTGATTATGAAATAACTTTGTATGCTAATCTATAAGCAAACAGCCCTTCACAATTAGGCATGCTGAGAATTAGCTTGTGTTTTTAAAAAAGATTTATTGATTTGAAAGAGTTACAGAAAGAGAGGGTGAGACACACAGAGAGAGATCTTCCATCTGTTGGTTCACTCCCCAGATGGCTGCAACAGCCAGGGCTGAACCAGACAGAAGCCAGGAGCCAGGACTTTCATCTGGGTCTCCCACATGGGTGGCAGGAGTCCAAACTCTTGGGCCATCTTCTGCTGTTTTCCCAGGCCATTAGAAGAGAGCTGGATCAGAAGAGGAGCAGCTGGGACATACCCAGCGCCTATATGGGATAGCAGCGCCACGGGTGGAGGCTTTACCCCCTACACGAGGACCCTGGCCCCTCTGGTATTTTTTGGCCAAGTACACTCACTCTCACTGAGAACAGAAGCTTTTTTTTTTTTTTTTTTTTGACAGGCAGAGTAGACAGTGAGAGAGAGAGAGAGAGAGAATGGTCTTCCTTTTCTGTTGGTTCACCCCCCAATGGCTGCTGCGGCCGGTGCACCAGGTTGATCCGAAGCCAGGAGCCAGGTGCCTCTCCTGGTCTCCCATGCGGGTGCAGGGCCCAAGGACTTGGGCCATCCTCCACTGCACTCCCTGGCCACAGCAGAGAGCTGGACTGGAAGAGGAGCAACCGGGACAGAATCCGGCACCCCAACTGGGTCTAGAACCCGGTGTGCCAGTGCCACAGGCAGAGGATTAGCCTATTGAGCCTCGGCACTGGCCACAGAAGCTTTTTTTTAGTAGCAAATGTTACTCCATTCAAGAATGTACTCTTGCCCTGAAATTCTGCCAGTGGGAAATTTGAAGAAGAACAAGATAAGGCCGGTGCCACGGCTCACTAGGCTAATCCTCCACCTTCCGGCGCTGGCACACCGGATTCTAGTCCCAGTCGGGGCGCTGGATTCTGTCCCGGTTGCTCATCTTCCAGTCCAGCTCTCTGCTGTGGCCCGGGAGGGCAGTGGAGGATGGCCCAAGTGCTTGGGCCCTGCACCCGCATGGGAGACCAGGAGAGGCACCTGGCGCCTGGCTTCAGATCAGCGCGGTGCACCGGCCGCAGCGGCCATTGGGGGGTGAACCAACAGAAAAGGGAGACCTTTCTCTCTGTCCTCTCTCTCACTGTCCACTCTGCCTGTCAAAAAAGAAAAAAAAAGAAAAAGAACAAGATAAAAAGCAACTCCTTTCCCCAAACGCTACGTTTTCTGGAGAGCAGACAGAAAGCACATCTCTGTCCAGCCGTATTTTAGCATCCAACAGATTCCTCTCCCGTCCCGATGCCCACGCCGAGAGTGGGGCGCTGTGCATTGTGGCTCCTGACTCTGTAACTCGTTCTCCCCTCTTTGCCACCTTGTGACTTTCTTGGATGCCTCCTGCAATTCCCTGCGTTACTTCTGCTTCCCTGCATGTTGGGTGAAGGGCCCTTCTCCACCTATGACCATGGATGCCCTGTCCACAGATCAGACGTAAGGAGCCCTTGGCCTTGCTCCTCCAGGTGTCTCGAGAGACTCGTGTCCCAAGGTGAGCCGCTGGGTATCTAATTGGCACGTCACTGGTGCACCTGCCACCTGGTTCCCAGCATGCTCCTCACCTGCGCTTGCCCCACTGTGAGGCCTGTGGCTTAGTTTCACCATTATTCGTGGGAACAGGCTCGCAGAAGTGACACAAACACTGTCAAGTGGCTCCCAGTTCTTGCCAAGCTGCTTGCCAATAACAATGATGATCACCTGTTGATATTTAATGTAAGCTGTGAACCGCATTTAATGCCTTCCATGCGTTAATACGCACACTCGCTACCTTTGTGAGGGAGGTTGTATCATTTCCACTTGACTTAGGAGGAAATCAAGGCACCGAGAAGTTAAAACTTGCCCAAGATCTCAGAGCTGATCGTGGTGTTGGAGCCCAGTCCACCCACACCGTGCAGCCTCACAAAGTCCTGTCCCAGTCTGCACCGCACCTCAGCTTGTGCAGGTGCAGTGTCTGGCACTGGGACTCTTCCACGTTTTCATTAGCACATCCTTGCAGACAGAGTGCCCTCTCGTGCACCCTCCAGCAGGGAGGCAGCTCCCGGTCCTTCAGAGAGGCTCTTCCAGGATCAGGGAACAAGGGCACGGCCAGCCGTGGGGACCCGGCTCTGAAGGCTGGTGCATGACCCTGGGTGCTGTGAAGCCATTTGTAAAGTGACCTGCTGCCCGTCTTCCAGCAGCCACACGGTGGCCGGGGAGGCTTCACCCTGACACCCTTGCCCCCGTTTAAGACCAGAACAAGTGGGGTGGGTAGGGGCAAGGACCCCGAGAGAGCCTGCACCCACACGTATCCTGGAGAAGGACTCGCCTGGCGACCAGGCCCCCCAGTTGACCTGTGAGGCCTCTGCGTTGGCGTCTATTCTGCTGCAGGTGGTTAGCAAAGGTATAGGGAGGCCTAGAAGGGTGTGAGTGGAGCCCACACATGCCCCCTGGGAGTGTGCAGCTGGAGCCCAGCCTGTGGCCTGAACCCGCCTGAACACAGGCCCAGTGCCACCCATTCCCGCACTCGACCCACTTGCTCCTGTAAGCACAGCCACGTTCACCTCTTGGAATCTACTTTTGGGGCGACGCTGTGGCTTAGCAGATAAAACCACCTGCTGTGCCGGCACCCTATATGGGCGCGGGTTCAAGTCCCGGCTGCTCCACTTCCGATCCAGCTCTCTGCTATGGCCTGGGAAAGCAGAAGATGGCCCAAGTGCTTGGGCCCCTGCACCCGCATGAGAGACCCGGAAGAAGCTCCTGGTTCCTGGTTTCAGATCAGCACAGCTCTGGCCGTTGCAGCCACTTAGGGAGTGAGCCAGAGGATGGAAGACCTTTCCTTTTCTCTCTCCACCTTTCAAATAAATAACTTAAAAATAAACACACAGAGGATGATGCCTCATTGAGGGATTTAAAGCCGCAAACAGAATAACACTGACAGCACTGTCTCTGGCACAGTCCCTTGGGAACCCCAGCCACAAAAGTCTGGGTTATGGCAGCCGTCTGGGTGCACAGAACCCAGCAAATAAATGAGAACTAAAACCAACAGATTCGTTTGGGATTTGATTCTCTGCAAGCACCACGCTGATGACCGCACCTGCCGGCACCAGGCGGACAGTTCAACAAGGCTGAGCCCGCCCCTTCACCTGCGCCAGGGAAGGTGCGCACCCCTGCAAATCAGCAGTTCCCACTCAGTCAGCCAACGCTGCGAAGGCAGGGGGGAGGCGCCCACGCCCGCGGCCCACGGAGCTTCGCCACGATGTATGTGTGCACCGGTGTGCGCCTGGTCACAAGTCAGGGGTTCGCGGCCAGGACAAGAGGTTAAGCCGCCGAGGGAGAAACCCCAGACGGTCCGACCGGGGCGGGGCGCGTGTCCGTCCCGCCGGCCTCCAGACCTCCCGCCGCTCCCCTGGCGGCCTCTGGAGGGGAGCGGCAGCGGCAGCGGCAGCGGCGCCGGCCCTGGTTGTCCAGCGGCGGCCCCCGCGCGACAGCCGCGTGAGCAGCGCTCCGAGCCCCCTTCCCGCTGCGGCTTCGAAGGCGACCGGGCGCCGCAGCCTCCGCAGCCACCCCGCCGCCCCGCACTGCAGCGACTGCGCCCGGCGGACGCGCAGGTGGGGCTGCTTCTAGTCTCCACTAGGAGGAGAGGGCTCGGCAGTGTAGGCCGGGCCCGGAACAAAGGGTGCGCGGGAGGACGCGAGCGGCCCGCAGCGCGCCTAGCCAGGTGCGCGTCCCGGACTCCGCGTGACTTTGGGTCCCTCCCGACCCGCAAGATCTCCAGATCCGAGCTCTGACTGTAGATCTAGGGCGGGCGCCGAGCCTGCGGGGGCCGCATCCTGCAGAGGGGCGGCGCCTCAGCTGAGGACTAGAACAAAGGGATCCAGAGGTACTCGCTCGCCGCGCTCCCTCGGCCGGCGCGCTCGGCCGTCTGCGGGGTCCGCGGGGCGCGTGCGTGGCCGTGCCCTGCCGCAGCGAACCTCCCGGCGCCCCCAGATGCAGCCCCCGAGCGCACGGCCCTCCTTCCCTGCGCCTGTCCAGGTCCCCCCGGCTCCCGCGGCGCCTCCGCCTGCGTCCTCCTGGCCACCCCGCCCCCCGTCCGCCCTGCGCCCCCTCCTAGCCGTGCAGACGGGCCGCGGTCGCAGCACCGGCGGGAGGCGCGGCCGCCGGCGGGAACACCCCGTGACCCGCTCAGCTCCGTGACTCGCAGCTGTGGTTCCAGAGCCGGCGCGCGGCCGAGGAGGAATGGCCCGGCTCTCCCGCTAGAGCCGCGCGAGCCATGGAGGCCCAAGGGTAGGCGCGCGACGGTGGCGGGACCTTCAGCTCCCGAGGCCGCGGCTGGGGACGGGGGGAGGGGTGGCTGTGATGCAATCCGCCCGCGGAAAGGAGGAGCAGGGCCGGGCGGCCACGCCACGCGCCTGAAGGTCGCTGGAGCCTCCGTCCCTCGCCTTCCCGGGAGAGCGCGCCCCGGACCCGCTTTGGCCGCTTCCCCTGCTGGCCAAGCTCGTGTGGGCCTCCTTCCCCGAAGAGCTGGGAGGTAAGCGGAGCGGCCACGCTGCCGCGTCCCTGCCGCGGGCGGGCCTTTTTCTCTCAGGAAAGGAGAAAGCCAGGTCCGCGGCACCGCGTGGCGCCAGCTCGCGTGATATCTCCTCGGGGTCACGGGATCCGGGGCTCCAGCGCAGCGGGCGGCAGGAGCGCGAGAGTCCCCGGCCCCGGTACTTGGCGTCGGGCCCGCAGGCCCCGAGGGGACCGCAGCCGTCCCCGGGGCGCTGGGGCCGGGGCGCGGGGGACCCGGAGCGCCTGGCTACTGTCCCCCGGGATGAGAAGAGGATCTGCGGGGCGCGGCTAACGGGTGCTGGCGGCGACTCGGGTCCCGCCTCACCCGGGAGGTTCTTTCCAAACCGAAGAGGCATGCGGGGCGGGGGTACTTTTCCATCGCCAGGACCGGTGTGAGTCGCGCACAGAAGGTCCTGGCGGGGTTCCCCATCCTGAGGCCCGCGGGCAGCCACAAAGGCCGCTCCGCCCGCCAGGTCCGCGCCTGGGGGACGCGCGCGCTCGCTCCGTGCGCGCCCCTGGGTCGGGGAGGCGGGGAGAGGGAGAGTCGCTGGCGCCGGTGGCGAGGGGGCCTCGTGACCCCTAAGCCCCGCTGCGCGGTCTTTTGTGTTGCTCTCGTGCCTCTCCATGTCCCCCTGGGGCGTCCGGCGCCTTTGCCACCGGCTGAGAACGCAAGGCCCAGGCGGCCACACTTTGTCACCTGGGCCGCTGATGTCAGAGGACAGGGAGGGAGGCAGAGCCTCGGGCCGGTTCCCCGGAAATCCGTGCAGTCCCCGCCACCGCCGCGCGGGAGCCCGCGTGTTCGCTCCTCTGTGTCCTCCGTGCTCGGGCTGTCCCCGGCCTGCTCGCCGTCCGAGTCCCGGCGCGGTGCTCGCTCGTGGCCAGGGTGCATGGATCTCGGCTCTTGATGGCCGCTGGCGCAGCCCCACTCCCCGGGAGACAGCCGTGAGCACAGGTAAAGGCCTGGCGCTCCTGACGCCGTGTGCGGGTGACGTTTGTGCTGAGGCTGCGGTGAGAAGGGGTTCGCGCGTGGGTAGTCCGGGTAGTCGACCCGCTGTAACCCAGCTCGGGAGGGGCGGGAATTCGGAAGGGCCGCAGATGCCTGGGCGCGGCCTGACTTCGGTGGAACGCGTGGTGGAAGGCGCCCTCGAGCCCGCCTTGCGGGCTGTTCCCTGAGTCGGGCGCAGGGCAGCTGTCTGGGGGGCTCCTCCCGCTCGCCCTTGTGGGCAGATGCCGACTCCCCTCCTTTCTCTCTCTCCCCTTAGCGCCCCTGCCAGTGCGCGGCGGGAGGCTCCAGTCACGAGCCCTGCGCTTCCCTCTGCCGGGTCCCTCTGCCGGGTCCCGCCGCGCGCCTTAGATGCAGCAGTTCAGGTGCCGGGTGTTGGGTTCCGGGATCCAGGACCGGGGAGGTCAGTGAGTCCACCGCCAGTTCCCCTGAGATTTATCCGTGTTTTAACCACCAGGCATCCTTTCTGTTAAACTTTACTAGCTTATAAAATTTTTATTATTTGAAAGGCAGAGAGCACAGAGCCAGCTCTTGCTTCCGCTGGTTCACTCCACAGACGCCCCCACAGCAGGCACCCCAGGCAGCATGGCAACCCCTGTGCTGAAGGACAGCCCCCAGGTGCACGTTTCCAAACCTCAGCTCCTTTTGAAGGACATGGCATCCGATGCCTCCAGCGGGCCCTGTGGCCTAGGAGGCCACTGAGGACCCTTCGTGGCTGGCTCCTGGTCCCCTCCCATCTCTGCCTGAGTCCCTTCCTCCCACGTGTGACCCCAGGGTGGAATGTCTGTTGACAACCTGTGCTTTCTCCCCTGGAAATGTGTATGCCCTGACCACCTTGCCGGCGTTGCCGGAAGATTCTCTGTCCCTCACACGGTACACCGTGGTCCCTCGTGGGGTGGGAGACACTGTGGGCACCTCTGAGGGTGATGATGGTGGAGGTGGTGGCGCCTTCCTGAGTTACCTTGAAGACCTAATGAAGACAGAGGATGAGAAGTGTCTGTGCTCCATAGTTAGGGATTCGCAGGTCTCGGGACGGTTCCCCTGCCTCGGAAACTCTGACCGCTCAGTCTTACAAAGGCATGTTTCTGAGAACAGTGTCCTGTCGGCCTCCGGCAGAACACACAGGCCGCGAGGGCGTTGGGCGTGAGCACATGTCTGCTAGTGGCCGCATCAGGTCTACCGGCAGAGAAGTCTAGTGCCCGGAAGGGCCAGGTGTGTTCTGGGAAACAGGCGCTGGGCTGGGGGTCAGCCCTGTGCTCCAGGTTCCGGCTCCTTGCCCGTCTCCTCACCTGTCCTGTGCTGCACCTCGTGCAGTTGCAGAGATGTGGTGGGGACAGAGCTGAGAAAGTCCTTGAGCAAACCAAAGGAACTGCCCAAGTGCCCGCAGAGACCTCCTGCCGTGGGGGAGGGGCGGGGCCCTTCAGCAGCTGCCTGCTGGGATCTCCAGGGACTCAGGTACCAGGCCCAGATGCAGGAATTACAGACAAAACACCAGGAGCTTACTTCACTTAACACAGAGACAATCCCACGTGCTGAAGCCACAGTGCCCGGGTGCAGGAGGTCCAGTTATCTCACAGAGCATGGCCTCGAGTTACAGCCAGTGGAACGGTTCCCCACACAGAGCCTGCCTGGGGACACAGCCGGCCACATGCACATTTAATGTGTGGCTCTAGTTTCCATTTCTCTGGAGTGACATAGCAACTGGAACAGAAGGAGACCATGGAAAGAGAAGGGGGAGGGCTGAGCCATGGCCAGGTGTGCGGCCGGGACAGGCGGGGTTTCCTGTGTGATGGTCAGGTGTGCGTCTGGGGCAGGCGGGGTTTCCTGTGTGATGGTCAGGTGTGCGGCCGGGGCAGGCGGGGTTTCCTGTGTGATGGTCAGGTGTGCGGCCGGGGCAGGCGGGGTTTCCTGTGTGATGGTCAGGTGTGCGGCCGGGGCAGGCGGGGTTTCCTGTGTGATGGTCAGGTGTGCAGCTGGGGCAGGCAGAGTTTGCTGTGTGATGTCCAGGTGTGCAGTGAGGACAGGTGGAGTTTGCTGTGTGACGTCCAGGTGTGTGACTGGGCAGGCAGGGTTTGCTGGGTGATGTCCAGGTGTGCAGTGAGGGCAGGTGGGGTTTGCTGTGTGACCAATGGGGGCTACAAGGTCCCCCTCAGCCTAACAGCTGCACTTTATTTTGTAAAGTGCTTAGAGTTAGTTGCTGGTGTCCTGGCATTTCTTGGGGAAGAGGAGATCATGTAGTCTGACTCATTCGCACTGCTGGTTGGTGGGGGAAGAGTGGGCTTCCCCGGCCTCCCTGGCTACTCTCTGTGTTAGTCTAAGTCTGCAGGTTCTCACCCTGGCTGCACGTTAGGATCCTGTGCTCAGAGGGCACCTAAAGCACCCACATTGGAGCCCATGGTGACTGGGTTTTCATCTTTTTAAATATTTGTTTATTTGAAAGGTGGAGTGACAGAGATAAAGAGGCACAGGGAGAGATTTCCCGTCTGCTGACTGACTCCAGATGCCCGCAGTAGCCAGGGCTGGGTCAGACGGACACCGGGAGCCAGGAACTTCATCTGGGTCTCCCCTGTGAGTGGCAGGGACCCAAATGCTTTGGGCCTTCATCTGCTGCTTCCCAGGCACATTAGCCAGAAGTTCACTTGGAGAAGAGCCGTAGGGACACAAAGCAGCACTCCGACGTGGGACGCAGGCGTTGCAGACGGCGGCTTGCCCTGCTGCACCGCAGCCCCGGCCGCGGTGACAGTGCAGCTGCCTGGAGGACGGAGGACTGCTGGTCTCCCAGGCTCCCCAGATCTCTGTCCTGAGACCTGGAAGTGGCCACTGAGAAGCCGCGTGTGGCATCGTTAGTTCAGGCAGAGACCCGGGGGGAAGAACGGAGCTGTGTGAGGCCTGTGGAGTCTCTCTTGCTGCTTTGCTGTCTGCTCAGAGGACGGCGTACTTTCAATAGGGCACTTTGGTGCAGGGTCCTCTCCACCTGCACTGCTCCATGTTCCTCTAAAATCCCCACTATTTCTGTTTCGTTAGGAGTTAGTGGTCACAGCCCAGCTAGGGCTTAAAGCAAACAACTGAAGTCCCTATCGGTTGTTTTTAGTTTAATTCCAATCTGTGACCAGAAACTCACACTGGAACAAAATCTTACCCAGGCAGAGGAGGAATTTTCTGAACGGCTGAAACATTCCAGGCTGTTCGCAGCTCTGTGAGTTTGTCTCTCTTCTGTTTTTTTTTTTTTTTTTTTTTTTACAGGCAGAGTGTACAGAGAGAGAGAGAGAGAGAGAGAGAAAGGTCTTCCTTTTGCCATTGGTTCACCCTCCAATGGCCGCCGCGGGCGGCGCGCTGATCCAAAGGCAGGAGCCAGGTGCTTCTTCTGGTCTCCCATGGGGTGTAGGGCCCAAGGACCTGGGCCATCCTCCACTGCCCTCCCTGGCCACAGCAGAGAGCTGGCCTGGAAGAGGGGCAACCAGGACAGAATCCAGCGCCCCAACCGGGACTAGAACCCGGTGTGCCGGCGCTGCAAGGTGGAGGATTAGCCTATTGAGCCGCAGCGCCGGCCCACTCTGTGAGTTTTTAATAACTACACAAACCCATTTTGAGTTGATGAGAAAGACATCCTGTTGGGCTTCACGTTGCTCAAATACAACAGTCTTCAAAATGTTCCTGCAAAATATGCATTATGAAAAAACTGCGTAGACTTCAGTTTCAAAGCTCAGCCTTTAACCCTATAACCCTATTTTCC